GACCGGCCTATAGTTCCCAGGTTTGCACCTTGCCCCCTTTTTGAATATTGGGACTACCGTAGCCCTCCGCCAATCACTGGGGATCCTACCAGTCATTAAGGAGTCCTTAAAAATGAGGATTAATGGTCTAGTTATAACCTGGCTTAATTCCTTAAGTACCTTGGGGTGCAGGTTATCCGGACCCACTGCTTTGTTTGCATTGAGCATTTTAAGTCTTTGTTGTATCCCGGTTTCTGTCAACCACTGGGGTATATTTTGAGTTAAACTGGGAGTTTTATCATGTGTGTCAAACCCGTTTCCCTCCCGAGTGTATACTGAGGAGAAAAAAGCGTTCAGCGCCTCGGCCCTCTCCTTGTCGTTTGTGACTAGCTTCCCGCTTCCATCCTTTATTGGGCCTATCTGCTCCTTTCTCACCTTTTTACTGTTAATATGACCATAGAAAATCTGCCGAAAATCTATAGGTGTACGGCCAGCTATAGTGTATGGGGGAAGAGACTTATATTGAGTCACATACTTGTTTTATTTTTAAATACATTTAATGATTTATTAATAAATGCTACGCTGCATAAACTTGTGTCTGATATCTGCTCATAGTTCAGATTTAAGGATTAATAAGGGTTATTAAGACCTCAGCAAACATCACATTTTGTTTAGGTCGCTTCACGAACCTGCTGATGTTAACACACGATCTCCAACATGCTTAAAATGTACGAGAGTTCTTTGAATGCTGTTTTCAATTTGCTTTCATTATATTTTCAATTCCTTGCATTGTCTGTCTTTCACCCTTTAGCACCAAACTATTAATTTTGTAAAAATCCTTTTGCAGATATGAAAAATTCATAAAAATAGAAGGCTGATTGAATTTTAAATAGGTGGTGGTCAAAACTGGTTACAAGAAGAATCGAAGAATAGTAGAAAGAAAGTGTTACAAACATGAGTAACCAATGCTAAGCAGCTCTTGGGACTAGACCACAGAAACCTACATCAGTGCATAGTCCATGCTGCCATACTTCTGCCGGTTGAGATCTGCTTATAGTACTGTAAAATCTAAAGTCCCTCTGCTGTAAATTTGTCCCTTGTCCCTGGGCTAAGGAAACCTTGTCTAAACCTTTTCTTACCCTTTAAGTTTCTGAAAACATGTTCTTTGAATGTATTTTTATAGATGCGTGATGTTATTGGAGCAGCAACTGCAGGTCAGAGCTATTACCGCTCATGTGTTGACAAAACTATCTCATACATGAACACAAACAATATCCCTAAACACGTACAGAATCGAGTGCGTAGCTGGTATGAGTATACGTGGGATTCACAAGGAATGCTAGGTATGTAATGAACTTATAGCATGTATTGTATGTCAATAAGAATAAAAAAGTTAAAATATACAATTGTTCTAACCATCTTGTCTTGAATTGCATTGTAACTGTTGGGGTGCTATATACATCCTGTATAATAATAATAATAATAAAAATAATCAGGGCTAAAATAAATTTAGGGTGTTTCACCTGTCAGTCAAAAATTTCACCAGTCAGCATGACCGGACTAGAGTCTTGCAATTTATGTTAACATTTTTAGGGACACATAGAGCTTTCTTTTGTAGGTATATAATCACCACTGGGGTTTTTATTTTTTACTATATAATGAAAAAAGTACCGTAAATTTTGAAAAAAAAGATGTTTTCCCTAAGTTATGTTAAAAAACATTTATTCTCACCCATATTTTTGGTAAAATATAAAATACAGGTTCACGTCGGGTAAATAGACACCAGACAAGTCAAGTCTTAAAAATTGCGCACGCCCGCAAAATCACAAAAAACTACCACACCAAAAATTGGCTATAGGCGACGCTTTAACCCTTTCGCTGCCAAGCCCTCCGGAACATTTTTCAAATCAGCTGGCCAAGCCATTTTTGAATTTTCTGCAATTTTTTCCTATTGATTTGATTTTCAACTGCTGCGTTACTAGCGTTTGTAAAAGACCCCCCAAACCATATATTTTCTGAAAGCGCAGGCCCGGTAGAATAAAAAGATGGTGATACTAAATTTGTAGGCCCTGCGATAATTGCGCAAATGTTTCTCAAATTAATATTAAACCGATAAAAATACACAATTCAATTGTTAAAACACACCAAATAAAGCGACCATCAGCTTATAGTAGAACTGTAAATGCCAGGTCCGTATGGCATACTGACCTGGCCAGCTGGAAGCACTTTTGTAGGTCCGTATGCCATACGTCCTTGGCAGCGAAAGGGTTAAACGATTTTACTGCTCATCAGTTTAGTGTCAATAGGCGCAATCGTCATTTTCGCACATAGGCGCACCCGATGCATGTTTGCGTGTGTATGTGGCAGGCGGGGGACTTAAAAAAAATTTTGTGTTTTTTTGAAAAAAATGATGCTTTAATTTTTTTATCACTATTTTTTTATTGTTTTTACAGTTAACTTTATTGCTATCACATAGGGAGATAAGAAGCCCCCTATGTGATAGCCAATTTACATGACAGGTCCTCTTTTTGGAGACATCAGGGGTCTCTAAGACCCCTAATATCTCCTAGGGACCCCCAGAGAAGCTGATGAAGCAGAGATCTGCTTCACCAGCTTCTCTCCAGCTTATGAAGCTGGAGAGTGACAGCAGGATGCAGAAGTGATGTAATATATATCACTTCCTGCATTAAGGGACTGGAGAAGAGATCAGAGGGAGATCGTTTACTGATTTCCTGTCACAGAGGAGCCATGCCGGTCCTGGCCACATCGGGCACAGCGGATCTCGGGACTGGCAACGGCAGTGACAACGGCAGCTAATACAAGTGATCGGACGTCTCTACAGATGCCGATCGCTTGAATGTGAAGCTACTCATCGGGCTTCGGCATCCTTTCGTCCCCGACGAGAGGACGAGCGGATTTTTCAAGCCCTAATAATAATAATGATAACAATAATATTATTTAGGAATATATCACTGAACATTGCCTACATTCTACTGTGCATTTAGTATTTTCAAATGATTATTCATTTAAACTAGAATCCAACTCCCATGAATAAACTCTTCTCAGTATCTACATAGATATTATAAATCTATTACATTTTTAAACCACATTTTTTTCCTTACATTAAACCTGGCAGATGAGTCAGAACTTTTGGAGGAAATGCCGACAAGAATGCAACTAGCTATTGCAGTTGATGTCAACCTGGCTATTGTTAACAACGTGGAATTATTTAAAGTAAGCCTTTTATATGATTTGAAAAATAGTGATGTCATTGTTATTACAGATACAGATAACAGAAAATGAATTGTACAAAGTTTTTTTTCTTTTCATTATCTCTAAAGTACCGTATTTTTCCGTCTATAAGACGCCCCATGTATAAGACGCCCCCAACTTTTCTTACCCAAAATTCAGAAATCAATATTTTAAATGATATAATGCATCACACTTACCTCTGAGTCAATCACGTTATGCTCCGACATTACCGCTCTGGGCACTGGCTACACGCTCTCCCCAGCAACAGCTGACGTCAGGTACAAAAGATTTATGATCGGATTACAGAGACAAGATAACAGTTTTCCTCCAATCATAAATCTTTTGTACCTGATGTCAGCTGTTGCTGGGGAGAGCGGATTACAGGGACACGATAACAGTTTTCCTCAACTCTCCCCAGCAACAGCTGACGTCAGGTACAAAAGATTTATGATTGGAGGAAAACTTATCTTCTCCCTGCAATCCGAAGTTTCACTCGTGCGACTAGTTTGCAGTGGTATCGGCACTTTCGGCAGTTTCGCAAACCGCGGTTCTCCTCTCAGCCCCCGTGTATAAGACGCCCCTCTATTTTTAGGTAAACATTTTAATGAAAAAGTAGCGTCTTATACACGGAAAAATACGGGTATTTGGGTCCGTTCCCGCCCAGTGCGCTGTGCTGGAAGTTTCTTTCAACTTGCCTTGTTCCGGGTGGGCTCAGTTCACACCACTGTGTTGCGGTGGTGTGCGCTGAAAAAAGTAAAGTATGCAGTACTTTTTTCAGTGCAGAATGACGCCGTACAATCTCATCGCACCGCACTTTGCCCATAGAATTTAATGACATTTCAATAAAGTTCATACAAAAACAAAGGAAACAGTGTGATGCGTCACAATCGGTGCATCAGTACTGCTCCGGGCACACGCACACCAGCAGCCATATGGTGTAGCGAGGCTGCTGGTGTGAATGGGCCCTTATGGCGGCTTGTAAGTTGTTGAACTTTTATATATGCCTAGAGTGGAGCTTTAAAAGCCATGAATGAAAGCAGCTCTGTCTTTATTGATACATCATTTAAGCAGAACTAAAGTCATGAATCCTCACTTCCCCTCCAGCTATGTGATGACACAAGCTCCCTCACAAACGTTGACACATTCACCCAACCTTCTTCTGGGTTCAGCATCTTTGGGCACCTTGATTGGCTGGGAGGAGCTTCCGATATTCCTGTGCACCTATGGTAATTTATCCCGGCCTCGAGGCATACCAAGAGTGAACACTAAGCTGCCCATGCCAAGCTCAATGTACATTCCAAACAAGAATTTGAACGGCACATAAGAAGGTTTTATTGCAGAAGAGATATAATTTTAACTTTAAAGTATAGGTCAGCTTTACATCTATTTTTTAACATGCAAGCAGTATACGTACCTGAATTTGACCTAGTTTCGGCCTCTAGTCTACTGAACAGAAGATCTCAGACTGTGAGAGAGAGAAGTCGCGCAAGGAGCAAATCAGTTGTGCAGTGGTGCTTGTGTGCTAACAAGGAACATGCTGACATTAGGAGAGAGCAGAGTGACAGAGGAATGACCTCATCAGTCTCCGGCTTCTCCTTTCTTTGTCCAGTCAATGGCTGGGGGATGGACAAAGCTTTCTAAGCATTACTCAAATGCAGCTTAGAAAATCAGGTCCCCTGCCCTGACAGGCAGGGCTGTGATGTGTGGAAACGTTTTGCAAATATCAGAACAGGAAAAACAGAGATACAGGTAAACCATATACAGTGTGCGTATATGCATTTCATTTGTTCATTTAGCTATCTGGCTGGAGTATATATATAGTCTCTGTGTCCAAGAGAAACATTTAGAGCATGATAAAGGATTCCCAGAGGACTATGGACAAGTGGTTAAGTAAGGAGACAGTAGAGCTTAAAGGAGAACTATGGGGTTAAGGCTTTTCCCCATAGTTCTCCTTAGGGTAACGGGAGGAAACAAACTAGCGTCCTTCCATCACCCTAAGCTCAGTATACCGCGAGCTACTGCTCGTGGTATAACATAAGCTGTCTGCCTTTCGGTTCACTTTATCTGGGTATAAAAGTGACGAGTCACTCCCATGACTCACTTTGGGTAAATTTCAGCTTCAGCTATTGATCTCTTGCTCCATTTTTAAGGACTTTTCTATGTATTAACCTACTTAACTTGGAGGATCCTAGCATTTGTATGTGATGCATTCCTATCCATTCTTGCCTAAATATAGGAGGATAAATTAACTAAGATGTTATTTTGGGGGTTCAAAGGACGTCAACCCCTAATACCTGTTGCAAGGAAGGGACATATGGCTTTTCTGTCATAGTTACTGTAAATAAGGTAATTTGTAATTGCATTAAATTAAAAAGTGTCTCATAAAGCAATATATATATATATATACAGTATATAAACAAAACATTAGAAGCAATATGGGTACTCATGGGACATGGCACTTGGCCACTTTTATTAAGGGTTAGCTGCATTCTACTAAAACCTCGAATGTCTATTAAAAACATTTGAATACTCATTGGGGGGGATTTATCAAAGCAATTGTGAGTGTTTTCACCTCTTAGATCATAAATCCGGTGCAAATATATCCCATAGAACCATATGCAAGCTCAAACACTCACAATTGCTATGATAAAGTCCCCCCATTGTGTTAAGCCACATGAGTGCCCACATAGCCTTTAATGATACATATATATTTAGCAGTATTTTCCATTAGCCGAGATCTGTATACTAGATAGTAAGGATGGGCTGCATGTTCGAGTCGACCATAGGTTCGACTCGAACATTGAATGTTCTAGCGTTCGCTGAACGCCGAACATTATGGGATGTCCGCGGTCTGTTCGACCCTGGCACATCCCACAATGCACTGCGCTGTCCGAAAACGGTAATTGGCTACAGTCCTGCACCTGACCGCAGGTCAGGTGCAAGACTGTGCCAATCAGGGCTCAGTACAAATGTAGAGCCATGATTGGGCAGATGACTCTGCCCAATCATGTCTCACAGCTAAGTCCCTGCAGCACACTATATAAGGCTGCTGACACCGCGGCCCCATGTAGTGTGCTGTAGGAGATAGAGAGGGTTCTAGTATAGTTAGTTACAGTCAGCAGATAGATAGAGAGTATAGTACTGACTTTGTCTAATTTGCTTGCATTCTCTTTGCAGGGTTGTGATGCCCAAATGATTCAAGACTTGTTATTGAGGTTGAAGTCAATTGTCTATTTACCGGGTGACTTTGTATGCAAAAAGGTAACTGATGGAATGTTAATAATATGTTAATAATATAAAAGTGAACCTAAAGCATTTTTATATACTTTTTATGTTCAGTAAAAAAAAAAAAAGTCTTAAACTTTTCTTTGGTTTTAATCAGGTAATAAATACCAATATATCATGTTTACCTCTTGCAGCCATGAGTTGCAGCTCAGTTATGCTGATCTCTGCAGCCATTGTGTTAAAAATAGATGCGAATAGCAGACATGATCTTCTGCTTTTCTCCTGGTAAAGATGGAAATCTTATTAAATCAGTCTCGAAAATCAGTTGAAAAGCCGTGCAGTGTTAGACTTTACTACAAGGAAGCCCAGCGTGTATTCCAAACTGGGTGTCATGGATGCACCCTGCAAAAAATGTATATTGGTAAAATGCACATTTTATACAAATAATGAAACATTTTATAAAACATCAGTATACAGCATTAAATAAACAATGACATGGATTAGTGACCCACATGTGTCTGGATTGTTTTCTTTCCAAAATGATCAGCCAAAATGATTTTGTGTGCAGCTAACCTTAGCTTCTGTATTTCTACAAAAATGTGTCGCCCTTTCTGGAGATACTGGCTTGTTTTGTCTCAGTTTTTATCGACATTTGTACATGACAGAGCTGAACAGCACTTACCAGTGATAAAATGATGTGTTAGAAAATGAAACACATTAGCAGCTGCTCTTAAAGCTGTTGAGATCACTCCTAGCTGCGGAAATAACATTTTACCCCTTATTTTCAATAGCAGCATATGACACTTGCAGTAACGTGCTTCTCGCCCCCAGATCTGACTGGTGTCGCAAAGGCTAATCTTCCTGATTACAACTCTCTTTTTCTCCAGCTGAATGATTTAAAAATGTTGGTTTTGCTAAAGTATTCAGCCCACACTGTGTGTTCAGCAGAGGTCATGTTTTATGCTGCATCATTTAAGATTCATTTTATCACTAAGCCATTTGTCCACCTTGAGCCAAAACTCATATTTATTCTGACAAAAATCATATGCTGGGAATTTTTAATATAACAGAGGCTCTGCAGCTGTACATTGAGGGATAACCATCTCAGAACCTATCAGGACTGATTCCCTTCTTTTTACTTGGGAGGGTGTTTTGTAAGGACCTGTCATGTAAGCAGCCTGTTTGAAAACATAGGCAAGTGCAGGGTACCTGGAATCCCCCTTCATCCAGATACAATATACAGTATACTCTCTGTTATCTGGTATTCAACTAACCAGAACTCTCATCTAACCAGAAAATAAAATCCCCTTAGTACTTACTGTTCTGCTGATCTGTGGCATGTATTATCCTGGAAACGATTGTGTGTCTATTTGTCCTAATTGGTTTTGATTATTGCATCTCAATATTAATATGAAGTCAATACAGAGTTTATGTTATGGCAGGGCTCAAAATTTCAAGTCCTGAGCTACTAGCCAGGCCTTAAGAGTTACTAGCCACCAGTTGCCCCACCTAACCCTTACCCTGGCCCTGCCTTAACTCCGCCCCTAAACACACCCTCTTAAATAATCTTATGATAATTCTTGTCTTATGATAGTTGCCGCTTGTAAACGGCAGATTAGGGATTCCTGCTGCAGGAAAACGCAAGTTCCTGACACCGGAATCTCTAATCACACCTGAAATATACTGTAGGTGTGAATGGGGCCTAATATACACATACACTAAGTCCATACACCTGCCGATTATCGTACGATTATCACAGGTGATCCTGCGATTGTATGATAAGCAGGTGTATGGGGAGCGTGCGACCGCTTCTACTTTAAGGTCGCACGACTTTCGTCTTCCAAGCACGCTGGAAAACCTGCCGAAAATCGTAAGATTTTCGGCGGGTTGGTGGCGTGGTCAGAAGACGAATGCCGCACGGGCCGGTGTGCACAAGCGTACACTGCCCGCTCAGCACTGCAATCATCGGAAGCCC